CAGGTTCCAGAGCCCTCGCGCCCGCAGTCAAGCGCTAGCTGGGCACGTAGGTGGCTGTGGCCTCCAGAAAGTTTAACTTCCCTGAGTTTTGGGGTCCTCCTCTGCAAATAGAGGTGTTAGTCCCTGCCTCTGGGGACTGCTTACAGTGCTAGCCGAGTTACCAGTTCTCACCACAGCCCCTAAGAGTCAGAGAAGGAGCCAAGCTCAGAATCGAAGAGCATCCAGTTAAGGTCACTGTGCGGCCCAGAAGCGGACACGAGCACCCAATGTCATGCTCAGCAGTCTGAGGGAAAGTGCCTTGGCCTCCCTGGGAGGGTTCTGGGTACCCACTTTCCAACCCCTACTAGAACGGCCTGTGTGGATGTTTCCTTCCCAGTCTCCCTCTCTTGACCTGGCCCCTTTGGTCATCACAGTTTGTGGTCTCCTTTGAGGGAGAGAGGCAGAAAGGTGAGGGTACAGGTGGCTGGGCACACAACAGGGTCCCTCCCTGCTCCTTCTCCAGGGAGGATGTGTGGGTTCAAGCTTTGGTCTCTCCTTCTGGAAGCCCTAATTCCTTCTCCCTCTACCCCTCACGCAGACCCTGTCTATAAGTGGCTGGGAGGCACCTCTGCCTCTCCGCCTGTGCCAAGTGGCCAGGGCACATACTCACAGCCACATGGGCAGTTTATTTATAGAGCTCTCATCTTTCCCAGGGTGGCCCAGGAAAGAGCTAGGGCCCTCCAGGCAGACAGACCTGGATTAGGATCCCACTGACACTAGGATCTTCTACTAGGTCTCTCTCTTCTTTTCCCTGCCTGAACCTGGAGGTCTGCTGACCTCAAGATACAAGAGTCCTGAAGTCCTAATCCCACAACTGGGCACACAGTGGGAATACAGCGCCTTCCTGTCTTCCTGGCCACTTTAGCCTCAGCCAATGGCAAGAAGCCGAGGCCTGGACATCCACGGTCTTAGCACAGAGCAGAGAACACATTCTAGGCCTGCTAACTGATCTCAGTTAAAACCTCTGTCCCTCCTGTCCTGGCAGAAGAGCCAAGCCTGTAACAAAGGTAATCTGAACAGCCCCACCAAATCTGCCTCCTCCTTCTGCAGGTAGTCCACCTGGTACTTCTTAGAAACTGATGGCAGAAACATCAGACCACCCTCACTCACCCGGCTGCAGCTGGGCGTGCTGAGTACCAGACTCTAGCACCTGCAGCTGTGGAAATTAAACTAGGGCTGATCCTCTCTGCTCTCTGAGGCTTCGTGCCCATGAAGCAGCAGGAAGGAGGGTAATCCTTCGTCAATGCTGCTTGGAGGAGACCTGAGCCCAGGGCCTGGCACACAGCAGGTCTCAGCAGGGTGTTTCCTCTGCTGGCCCTGAGCAAAGGCCTTGCCTGAGAAGGGCCCCAGGCAACCTCCATTCTCAGTCCTACCCATGGGGGTGGCTTTGAGTCTCTGCCCTTAACCCCCAATGCATATTTAGGAGCATCAGATCCTGGGTGGACACCTCCCTGTGCAGTCCAGCAAACACTAGGCGCTCGGCCTATTATGGCAACCCTTCTTCGAGAAGAGGCCTAGCCTGCTCCTAGGGGCAGGAGAAGGCAGACTGCTGGGTATACAAGGCACATGAATCACCTACACCTGGGTCACAACAATGAAGAGGGATTCACAATAGGCTGGGAGGGCTTCCCAGGTACAAGGGAGCTGTATCTTGAACGGCCAGGACAGTTCCAGAAAGAGGGGAAAGCAAAAAGAAGAGTAGAACCACAGCATCTGGTAGGGAGAGATGAGGCTAAAGGCTTAAGTTCAAAGAGTCTTGAAAGGAAAAGCCTCAGTGAAATGATGAGGGGTTTGGACTTATTTTATAGACTAGTTGTTCTGCAGTGTGAGGAGGATCTGGAAATGGAGGCAAAGAAGTCGGTACCTGAGTCTAGCAGGACAGCTAGGTCAGAGATGGAACAGAAGAGGGAGCCCTGATCTTGTGAAGGTGTGTCTGGGGCCTGCTGCCAGTCCTGGGCCACCTCCAGGCATCTGGGGAATGTGTGGCAGGACAGAAAGTAGGTACCCTGTCTGGTGATGATGGCTAGACTATCACTGTTCTGGGGGGACCTTGGATAAGTCCATCTCACCATGTCTCAGAACCTCAGTGTCTCCCTCAGTAAAATGGAACTGGGTCTATGAGCAGGGGTGGGTGTTGACTCTCCTTCAAAGCTTCTCTTCCATGGCCTGACATAGGGCCCTCCAGGCAGACAGACCTGGGAGCATCAGATCCTGGGTGGACTATCACACAGTCCCAACGAGTACCACATGTAGAAACCTAGACTGGTCCTACCATCATCCCTGTCACACCCAGAGGCCCAAGTTCCCAGAAAGGTTTGACTTGAGTGGGGCTGGAGGTAGAAGTGGGGGGTTGAGGGGGTTCCAATGGGTCTGGGACCAAAAGGAGAGGTTAACCCTTCTCCTCTCCCTCCCCCTCCCAGACCCTGAGCTATTTCCACCTCTTGCTGGGGACAGAAATAACTCAGGCTCAGCCCCAAGAGACTAAGGCAGCTATTCTGATCAAGCCCAAGAAGCACAGCTCCAGTCATTCCAGAGGGAACCAAGGGACACCCTGGTCCCCAGCTCTAGCTCTCATAAGCAACAGCAGTGATCAGACTAGCAGGGGCCTCTGGGGAAGAATGAGGAGAGTAAGGTCCAAAAAGGGTGGGCACCACAAAGTTACCAGCCTGCTCCCTACCACAGCGAGTGAGTGGATTTGGGAAAAGTGCCCTTAAAACAATTCTGAAGAGGGGGCTGGGGACTTTTCAAATAAGAGGGTCAACTGGGATTCTCAACTGTCCTTGCCACCCTTGGAGCCTGCTCCTGACCCCCAGAACTTTTCTGTGAGCACACTCGCAAAGCCAGCTGCAGGCTCTGGAAGGCAGGGGGCAGACCTTTCTGGTGACCTCTGGCTAATGGGCAGAGCTGGGGCTAGGGAAGAGTAAATGAACAGGAAGACCATGTAACCCCACCCCCAATGTTTCAGACATGTGTGCAAACACACCACACTCAGAACCCACAATGGCACATCCTGGCAAGTCCATGCCTGCCAGTCTGGGTTTGAGAGACGAAAGCTCAGATAAGGCATGAGCAGATAGAGCACCTCACTGGGCTTCATACACAGAAAACCTGAATTCTAGTCCCGCCACTGTCCTGATTCAGCATGACCTTGTGCGAGTCACTTTGCTTCTCTGAGCCTCAGTTTCCCTCTCTGAAAAACAGCCTCCACATCTCAGAACTACCGAGACGTCAACAAGAGCAAGCCACACGGTGTTTAGCTCGGTGCCAAGTACAGTCCCCCTACCCAGGATGCAATCAACATTTTCAGAGGGTGACAGGAGAGAACAGAACTTCCAGACCATTTTAGCAGGTCCCCCTCAGCCCTCCATTCCACACCTGACAGACCTCTGGCGGGGGCGGGGTCTTTAAGAGGTCAGCCAAGATGGTGAACAGCCCCAGCTCCTGTAACCCAAAACACCTGTGGGGAACGCGTTCAAGCCCCTCCCCCACACAGGTAACGGAAGAAAGGCACCCTGGGCCAGGTAAGTCAGTCTATGGGTCAAGTTTGGCTGAAGGGCCAGGACAGTTGTGGAGAGGGTGGTGCTGCTAATCCTGCCACCAGCACCAGGGTGCAACCCCCGGGGCCACTGTGTCCCCAGCAGACGGCTACCTCCAACCCCCACTGCAGTCTTTCTGCTTGATGGGAGAAAAGGGAGAACAGAGGCAGTTGACCCAAAAACAATAGAGGATCCCAAAGTGATGATTCACAGCTCTTTCGCAGCCCAACACCTCAGAGTGCAGAGGGGAGACTGAGGCCCAGCAGGGGAAGGCCTGAGAGCAGACTCCTGGGCCCAGGGCGAATGCAAGTTACCAGGGCCGCAGAGTTTTACCAGGCATCAGGGAACTCAGAGCATGTGTATGTGTGTGTGTGTGTGCGTGTGTGTGAGTGTGTGCGCGCGGGTGTGCATGAGAGAGAGGAAAGAGAGAGGGAGCGAGAGGAAAGAGAGAGAGGGAGCGAGAGGAGAGGGGAGAGAGGGAGAGAGAGGAGAGGAGAGAGGAGAGGAGAGAGAGGGGAGAGGAGACAGAGGAGAGAGAGAGGAGAGAGATGTGTGTCTGTCTGGGAGGTGGACCTGAGCCGCCACGGGCCCCTGTAGCTGCAGCTGGAGGTGTCACCCCCAGGCGCGGTCCTGCCTTGGGCCTCTCCCCACCGCCAGGACAAATCACTCAGGGTCTACCCCGTGCACTGAGCCGAGCTCCCCTCCTTGGGGACGGTCCCGGGGCAGCCCCGTCCCCCGGCCTCCCCACGCCAGCGCGCAGGGTCCCTGCTCCCCGCCTCTCTCAGCCCCGAGGTGCAGACACAGACCCTGCCTGACCCCACCGCGCGTCCGGGAGTCCGGTTCTCACGGCGGCGTGGGCGTCCTCCCCTCTCGCTCACACGCACGAGCGCCCGGCCCGGCCACACTCGCGGCCACAGCACCCGGGGCCCCGTGACCCGGTGTCCGGCGCGGCGGCGGCCACCGCAGCGCCCCGGGGCGTCTCGCAGCCGAGTCCCCCGAGGCCCCCGTCCCGGCCGGCGTCACCCCAGGGTTCCGGCCCCCCCCCCAGGGTTCCGGCCCCAGCCGCTCCGGCCGGGCCCCTCCCGCGCCGCGTCACCCCCGCCGCGGCCCCGGTCCGGCCCCCCGGCCCCGGCGGGTCCTCGGGCGCGAGCTCCGCGGGCCGGGGGCGTCTCCGGGGCCCGCCCTCCCGGACTGCAAGTTGCGCCGCCGCGTCCCCGCGCACGGCCGGCCCGGAGGCGGCCGAGGACACGCGGGCCCGGCCGGGCTGAGACCCGCGCCCTCGGGCAGGACGCCGGCGGGCGGGCGGGCGGGGCGGCGGGCCGGGCTGCGGCATCGGCCGCGCCGGGGAACTTCCTCAGAGCCGCGGGGGGCAGGGGCGCCCCTCGGCCGCGCGGCCCCCGGCCCCGGCCGCGAAGAGCCGCTTACCTGGCCGCGCCGCGGAGCCGCGGGAGCCCGGGTCCCCCAGACGCGGCGCCCGACCCGGCTCGGGAGCGCAGGACGCCCGCGCCGCCTGCGCGCCTTTTGAATGAAACGCCAGCCCGGCCGGGAGGCGCGCCCCGCCCCCACGCGTCACGGCCGCCGGCCCCGCCCCCACGCGTCACGGCCGCCGGCCCCGCCCCCACGCGTCGCGGCCGCCGGCCCCGCCCCCACGCGTCGCGGCCGCCGGCCCCGCCCCCCCTACGTCAGAGCCCGGCCTCGCGCCCGGCCCCGCCCCCCTCGTGAGCCCGCGGAGGGGCTCGCGTCCTCCCGCCCGGTGCGGCCCCGCGTCGCCCTCTCTCGCGCCGCGCGAGAACTGCGGGGCGCTGCGCGGGCCGGCTCCGTGGAGCGCGGGGGCCTCTTGGGTCATCCCTATCTGGGCTCCAAACCAAAAAGGAAGCGATGCAGGACTGACCGGAGGCTTGGATGCTGCTCCCGGGCTGGTCACCTTTGCCAGTGCAGCTGGGGCCGCCATCACCCTTTGCTCTTGGAAATTGGCCTCACTTTGCCTAGTTGGGAGCTTCAGGTGCGCCCCGAGGAACCCTTACCTCCTTAATGAGAAAAGGCCTGGTGAGGGCCTCCCTGGTGGCGCAAGGGGTTAAGCACCTCACTATGAAGCAATCCGCAGCCTCTGCTGCACGAGTTCGATCCCCGGCCGGCCAGGGAGCAACCCCCATGGCCCAGCAGACCTCGCCTGTCTCGCCCGCTGCTCCCCTCAGCAGTGTGTTTCGTCAGTCTGCCTGTTCTGCTCCCCTCTCTGTCTCTGGTGGATCCTCTCACACACTCACTACCACCCCCCCCCCCCACATCTCTGGCATACCCCAGCTCTTGTGTGCACAAATAAATAAATCTTAAAAAAAAAAAAGAAAGAAAAGTCCTGGTGAAAGTGAGTCTATAGAGGAGACCCATTTAGTGGCCAGAAGATTCCTCAAGGCTCAGACCAAATCTTCCTCCAGGAGGTTTTCCTAGCCCACCAGTCTGCAGGATAGCTAGTTCCTTCTTCCTGCAGGGTAGGTGACACATTGCTCTCTCTCCCTCCCATCATCTGTCCCACACTGCTGATTCCCAACCTTCAGGGTGCCCAGCAGGATAGTGACTAGGGACAGAGCTGCACACATTCCAGGGCACTCTTCACACATTGCCCCCTGGAGTTGTGCAATATGGTGGGCTAGCATCCAGTTTCCCCCACTCATTACCATTCAGGGGATCTCAGGTGGCCTTCCCAGGACAGCAGATCTGGGAGGGGACTCAGCAGGGAAGGCCTCAGGCCATTCAGGGGATCTCAGGTGGCCTTCCCAGGACAGCAGATCTGGGAGGGGACTCAGCAGGGAAGGCCTCAGGCTGGGGGCAGAGGCCTGGCTGGAATCAGGGTAATCATAGCCCATGACAGAGGTGGGGAAAGGTAAATAAATTTGATAGAGACAGAGCGGGGGTAGAGGTGGAAAATTCTAGATAAATCGAGTCATAGAATCTGAGCCATGGGGTGAGGGGATTGGGAAGATTAGAGAAGATCAAGTCCTCAGGGTCCAGGAGATTCCAGGAGAACTGGATACCTGCAGAAGGAGGTGGGGCAGGGCAAGAGTCTCCATTTCCCTGAGGCATGCTCTTGTGTGGGGGAAGGGCAAAGGCACTCCAGGTCACAGATGCCGGGATGCCAGCCCAGCCACATCAGTGTCAATGGACACCTCCAGGGGATAGGGATGAACCCAGGCTCCCATATCCCATATCCTACATCCAAACCCACAAAGGGGTCCCAGATAGGATCCATGATGGGGGCCTGTGAGGGGATCTGAGCAGCTCAGGGTACCTTCTATTCCTGCAAATGTCTTCCTTGTAAGGGAGCCTCTTATATCCCACATCCAAGTTCTAGAGTTCAAATTTCACATGCCACTCAGTACACCAAAGGGGGATGTGCTAATTGGTCAAGAAGCACTAGGTTGGGCCTTCCTGGTGGCGCAAGGGGTTAAGCACAGCACTGTGAAGCTTGATCAGCAGCCTCTGCAGCACTATCTCCAGCAGCCAGGGAGCTACCCACATGGCTCAGCAGACCTCTTCTGTCTCACCCGCTGCTCCCCTCAGCAGTGTACTTCAGTCAATCTGTCCTGCTCTCCGCTCTGTCTCTGGTGAATCCTCTCACCCCCACCATACCTCTGTCCTATACCCCAGTTCTTGTATGCATAAATAAATAAATCTTAAAAAGAAAAAAAAAAGCACTAGGTATCAATCAGACACCCTGCAGAGGGTCCAGGCCTTTCTCTACTACCAGCTCTTGGTGAGGCATTAGTCAAATCCCTGACTCAGTTTCCACATCTGAAAACTGTTATCAGGCTACTTCTGCTTGGGAGGTAGTTACCTGCCTGATCTGGCTGAGTGGCAAGGGTGGGCAGCACCCATGTAAGCTAGGAGTAGATCAGGCATGGAGGGGTGAAGGCAGGTGCCTCCTGTGGTTCAGGGGACTCTGAACTTGGCAACTTTAGGCTTTCAAGGTGCAGTTCCATAAAGCCAGGTCTGCTGGAGCCACAGCTGCACACATCCTACCCCACGCCCACCCCCTCAGGTTATGAGAGAGCCTAATTATTATTTACTGCTGGCTCTGACTCCCAGCCCACAACGAGTTGCACGTAGGACCTGCCCAAGTTTCTGGGAACATCTAGCTACTCCAGTGAGGAGACACGAAAGGAGTTGCGGAGGCCAAAGGAGAGAATTACATCAGCTTTTTTATGGGACTTAGGGAACCACGACTGGAGAGCAAAGGACTCGGAGAATCACAGCTTTTAAAACTCCTAGAATCTCAGATGGCCCCTAGCATCTCACTCACAGAGCCTTAGCATTACAGTCCTTGACCTCAGGAATCCCTCTCAATGCAACCAAGGAAGTGACCACAGAGAAGGCCTGCACCTCACCCGAGGTGGCGCAGCACAAGACCCTAGGAAGCTGGGCTGAGCTGTGTTGGATGGTGATCTGGAGTCAGCTGCAGGGACTCCATGTCCCACTAAGACTCTGCCTGGCTTGGGATCTAGGATCACAGGATCAGCCGCTTGGGATCTGAGCAGATGTCAGCCTCTGGGTTTATGACCCAGAAATGGCGGTGCCCCCTGCTGGCTACATTGGAATTCCAACAAGGAAGACTAAAGCAGGAGGAATGTTAGGTACTCAGCCTTAAATCCCAAGGCTCTGAGCTTGGTTAATCTGCAGCTAGCTACATCCTATCCCTTCAGAAAGTGGGCTGCCCTCCTGTGTTGTTGCTGTAGTTCCAGAGGGAGAGTGGGCTTGGGTCTAAGGAGGACCTGGGCCTAGAGTGAGGGTTGGCCTGGGGCAGGCAGGGGCTGAGCTGAGGCTGATGGGGTCTGAGGGCCAGGTTCAGTCTGCATTTAGGTCCAGACCCTGGCCTGGATCTGGAATCCCAGTGGGGTTGGGTTTTGCTTGGTGTCACACAAATAGGAGTCAAGTCCCAGTCCTGCCATTGCCAGGATGTGTGGCTGTGAAGCAAATGACTTCACCTCTTTGAGCACAAGCTCATCTACCCAGGGTGTTGTGAGGCTCTGCTGAGACCCCATGTAGGGGGCATCAGATTCTTTCAGGCCACTGGGTTGGGGAACCCCTATCTGTTCCTGCTCCTCCCCAACTCTCATTTTTGCCCTGTGTCCTCCCCACAGCTTGGCATCTGGGTTCTGCCCCCAATTATTAATACCTGCTTGCTGTCTTCCTCCCCAGTGCACCCAGCAATCTACCCTTTCAATTGCCTTTGCCAGGCAGGACTCCTCACTGGCCATAAAGGGCCCAAAATAGCATTTCCTTTGCTACTTCCTGCAACCTGGCCTGTGCCTTAAGGTTTGTGAGGCTAGAGGAGAGATTTGGTGTTTGGCAAGCATGCAAAAATATGAAGAGCACCCAGAGGTCACCCAGGTCCAGAGAGGGTAGACTCGCCTAGGTTCACACAGTTAAGGAAGGCCAGGGTTGATGCTCAAGTTCAGGCCCTTGGGCACCCCATTCCCTCCTCAGGACCCCATCAGAAGCTTTAGTCATTCTTCCTGCTCTCTTTGCCAAATGCTTTGGACCTACACACTGCTGCCCCTGAGGTGTGCGGTGGGGATCCTGGAGGCCAGCCAATTCAGCCCTATGTCATTATCTAACCACAGTCAACTTCTTGCCTAGACACACCCACGCCCAGTCTGTGCTGCCTTGCTGTGTGACCTTGGGAAAGTACCTCTCTGTCCCTCATCTTCTCATAAAGTAGATGGTCTAGGTAAACCCGGTCCTTTGTCCTTAGCCCAAAGGGTCACCTGGTGACTTCCTTTGCAGAAGGGATGGCATTTGGCCCTGACTCCCATTCTCTGAGGTCAGGACACCCTGCCCTGCGCTGATCTGAGGCACCTGAGCCATATACCTCACAAGTGGCTGAATGTGGCTCCTGTCTTCCAGCCACTGCAAGTGGTTACTCTTCTCTTCTGTCACGCATGGAGACCTGAGAGGACAGATCACATGTGAATTCAGGTGACCTCGAAGAAGGCATTTAACATCTTTGAAACTCACTTTCCTCACCTGAAAAAGAGACTAATGACACCAACCTCCAGAAACATTGTCCTGGAACTAAGTGAGATGATCCTTGCTCCAGGCTTGCAGCAATTAAATGGGAGCGAGAGTTGTTTTGTGACATTCAAGACCTAGAGGTAGATCCCAACTGGATTCTCCAGATCTAATTCAACAAATATTGAGCACCTACTGCGTCAGGCACTGTAAGCAGCTTGGGGATAGAGTAAAGAACAAAACAAAGCACTGGCTTCCCCCAGCACTGGCTTCCCCCAGCCTTTTCCTCTTGCTCCTCTGCTCCAGCTGGGCCTTCACAACTCCCCTCACTCCAGTCTCTTCTACCCTCCTTGCCTTGACTCAAATTGTTTCCTCTCAATTTCCAAATCCAGGCACCATTTCCCCCCACCCCAGTGTCTAGCCATGGCTGTACCTTTTACAGGATGTTTCTTCGCCTTGGTTGCCCCAACTAACCCGTGGTGTAAGAAGTCAGGGTGGTGGTTAGCTTGGGAAGCCAGATTGAGGGAGAGCATCAGGGAGCTTTTATTTTTTTTATTTATTTAAATTTTATTTTTATATTCCCCATACAATTACAACCCCCTTATTTTGACCCCAATCCCTCCCCTCCCCGCCCCCCACCCCTCATAGAGTGTCTCTGGTTCATAGCTGTTTGTTGATTTTGATTTTCACTTTCTTATAGTTATTCATTTTCCTGGTCCCTTATTTAAGTTTTCTAGATTCCTGCTATGAGTGAGACCATCCGGTATTTTTCTTTTTCTTTCTGGCTTATTTCGCTGAGCATGATCCCTTCCAGTGCCATCCATGTTGCTGCAAATTGCATGTGTTTCTCTTTTTTGAATGCTGAGTAATATTCCATGGTATATATGTACCACATCTTCTTGATCCAGTCATCTATTTTTGGGCATTTGGGTTGTTTCCAAAGCTTAGCTATTGTAAACAGTGCTGCTATAAACATAGGGGTGCAGGTGTTCTTTGGAATTGATGTTTCTGTGTCCTTTGGGTAAATACCCAGGAGTGGAATTGCTGGATAATATGGAAGCCCTATGTTTAGTAGGTCCAGAAATCTCCACACAGCTCTCCATAGTGGTTGGACCAGTTTGCACTCCCACCAACAGTGCAGGAGAGTTCCTTTTTCTCCACACCCTCGCCAACATTTGTTGTTGCTAGTTTTTTTAATATGTGCCATTCTCACTGGTGTAAGATGGTATCTCATGGTAGTTTTGATTTGCATTTCATCAGGGAGCTTTTAAAGTGATGAAATGTTCTGTTCCTTGATCTGGATGTGTTAACTTTATGAAAATCCATCAAGCCACACACTAATGGTTTGTGTATTTTTCAGTGCAAATGTTATACTTTAGTAAAAAATTTCCGTAGAGGGCCTCCCTGGTGGCGCAGGCGGTTGAGCGCCAAACTGTGAAGCTGTCGGCTGGCCAGGGAGGTGACCCACATGGCACAGCAGACCTCTCCTGTCTCACCCGCTGCACCCCTCAGCAGTGTATTTCAGTTGGTCTGCCTGTTCTGTTTCCTGCTGTCTCTGGTGAATCCTCTCGCCCTCTTGCACATCTGGCCTGTACCCCAGTTATTGTATAAATATATAAATCTTAAAAAAAAAATACTGTATTACTAAAAAAAAATTTCTCCTTAGAAAATACCAATACCTGGGTCTCACACTCATTTCTGATTTAATTGGTCTGGAACATGGCCTGGGCCCTTCAGGTGATTATAATGCGCAGCCAAGTTGCGAATCACACTTTAGAGGAGTGAGTACTTGTAGGACTCTCACCTGGGCCTGGGGCTGGACAGCCCTCATGCAGGACTGCCCTGCCCACAGCCGACTGGCTCTGGGGCTGAGTGCCTGTCCCAGGCTGACAGTGCCCTGGGAGCTCCTTTCAAGTAACAGTGGGCTGGGTCAGGCCATTCCTATTTGGGCTGGGGAATGGTGAGGACCTAGTTCAGTGCTGAACTGAAGTCTGTCCAGGGCCCTGTGTTAAAGTGCCCAGGTAGTAGAAGCTGTGAAGCAGCAAAGGATGATGTAGAGCCTCAGGGTGGAGAGGTCAGAGGTCCTGAGATGCGGCTCCAATGCCTGGGTCTTGAAGTTGTTGCCAGTTCATGCCTCCACTAACTAGCCCCCTCTATCTCCAGGTGGAAGGATCTCTACTTTGTGATTCAGATCTGTGCATACCAGGCAACAGTCCTTGAAAGGGCAGGAAGGGGGTGTTATCAGGCCTATTTTGCAGATGGAGAGGCTGAAACCCAAAGTCACATAGCTAGTTAGTAGCAAAATCAAGATTTCTGCTCAGCTTCAAGGAGTGTTCCTTGAAGAAAACTTGTATTCCTCCTTATGCTTTGTTTCATAAATTCCACATGCATGTTGCCTTTACTCTGATATGTAAATCTTCCTTCTCAGGTGCAAGTAAAATGCTGTAGGGAGATGTTCCATGCACGTCCTGTGGCACCGTGGGCCCAGCTGACCCCTGAGATGTGCATGCCAGTTTGCAAAGCAAAACTTTAGCAACTGATTTTAGTCAAGTCTTAATCATTTAGGTTGCAGAATATTCAAATGTGTTCAGCTGAGCTGAGGCCTGTCTGTCCTTCTCTACTATTTAGCTCAGCATCTTGGGTCCTGCAGGTGGATGTTGGGTGGGAAGAGCTCTGGCCTGGGTTTTAAGGCTTTTGCATTTTTTTGTTTTTTTAAGATTTATTTATTTATTTATACAAGCACTGGGTACAGTCAGAAGCACGGGAGGGTGAGAGAATTCACCAAAGCCAGAGTGGGGAGCAGAACAGGCAGAGTGACGAAGTACACTGCTGAGGGGAGCAGCGGGCAGCAGGAGAGGTCTGCACGCCATGTGGGACACTCCTCCGGTGGCCGGGAACAGCGGGGATCGAACCGGCGCTGCAGAGGCTACAGGCAGCTTTGCAACCCAGCGCTCAACCGCTGCGCCACCGGGGAGGCCCGGCTTTTGCATTCTTGTCTGATTTAATGACACTCCTTTTTGAACCAGCAATTAGCAGACTTGGATTCTATCCCGGCTCCAAAGCCTGATCTTACCTTGGCCTGTGTCAGATTCTCAAGTCTCTTATGAGGCTTAGCTGGGGAACACTGCTTCCTGGGAGCTGCAGTCTCGCTCACTGGTTGCCTAGTGTTTTACTTGCAGCTCATGTCAGATTCCCAAGCTCCATCCCAGACTCACTGACTCAGAAACTGAAGGGAGCCTGGGAATGTGTACTTAAACACACATAATTTGTGTTATGTTCTATATTTACATAGGAAAGCTGTAAAGGATTTGAATGCATAGCTCTGGTTACAAAACAGGACTAGTACAACCCTGCTGTTCTTATGAGGAATGTAGGATAAATGAGTAAAAATTCAGTCTTTTTTACGCTAGTCTCTATGCTACCACCAGCAGCCTTGATCATGTTACTGCAGAGGCGTTTGGGAGCGTGGACACCTGGGCCCAATAAGCATAGGGCATGCAATTATGTAAGGGCACACACCTGGGCCTAGAGACGAAGGCCGCTCGAGGACAAGGTAGACAGAGACATATACTACAGAACAAAGGAGATTGCGACAGGAGAACTCAGAGTATGGAGATTTGTGGGGCCTGGGAGATAGACAGGGCCCCTGCCCAGGCCCCCCTTGGGCCTGCCTCCTTGCATGCTAGCTTCCCTGCATGGTATGCCCTGTGTACCTGATTCAGCATTAAAAGGACTGTAAAATCCTATTGAGGACTCCGTATTTATCTGCCTGCCTGAATCTGCAGATTCAGTGAACCTGCCCTGTGCACGCTTGCCCTGCAGGAAACTGCAGACCAGACAAGGGTGGAGACCGGCCCAGGAGAACACAGCAAGTCAGTGGCAGCTCCCCATCCCAGCATGCTACAGGGTCTCTAAGGCCAAGCTTCTGCCCAGGGGAGAGGGTGGCAGAGGCCTAAGAAGCTGGGGAGCCCTAAGATTAGGCAGGAGGCCACAGTGGCTTCTAAAGACAAGTTTACAGTTTCTATTTATTGACTCTTTAAACTTCATCATCCAACAAAAGTTATACATGACTGTTTGGTAGCAAGAGGAACATAATCTAAGACCGCAATGACCCACCCACCCCAAACAAAAACAGAACCAAACAGAATAAAACAAACCCCACCTGAAACCAGACCTTTGGAGTTGCAGCTGAAGAAGCAAGGGCTTGGGAGTAGGCTGCCCTAAAGTAGAGCCTTCCAAGTGAAGAGGCCACGCCTGGCCCCTCGGCTTTGGGTGTCCTTCCTAGTGAGGCTGCCTTGGCAGGAGAGGGTGCGAAGACAGGGAGTCAGTGGTCAGAGTGAAGGGGCACCTCAGTGCCCCCTCCCATGGTGACCATATGTGCCAGTGCATGAGACACGGAGGGGGGTGCTGGGGGGGTGAGTGCCAGGAGAGCAGGGGCCTTTTCTCTTTCCTCCTTAGGCCAGGAGAGAGCCTTGTCCATGGTCCCATCAGTGTTCCCAAATCAAGAAACTGCTGAAGGCACTGCTTACAAGCTAGGAAATGCCAAGGTCTGCCAGAAGGGAGTCAATGCCCCCCAATAATCATCAACTTGTCCTGGATGACTGGGGGACTTGGTCCTTGGCTCTGGAGAGTGGAGGGCGGTCCAGTCAGGACAAGGCAGTGGGAAGTGTTAAGAGGCTGTTTAGTGCCCTGAACATGCAATGTGAGTGCACATCTGTAACGAGGGGGACTGATCCCTCCAGAAGGCTTGGTTAGGGTCCCAGGGTGGCTCCCAGGGCAGGGATAGGATTTTTTTCTTCTGTCATTTTATCAAGTCACCTGCTGTCCCAGGTCATTGCATAAATAAGTGCTCGGGAAGGTACACATCTAGAAAGGAACATAAATACTGTACATGGGAAAGGATTTCGTCTCCCCAGTCCTCCCATTGCCCCCAGAAAACCCTCCAAATATTGCACATGGCCCTCCCCAGCCCAGTGGGGTCCAGGCCCGGCCGTGTCTTTGGTAGAAGCTCCAGGGACAGAGGTCCTGGGCAGCCCACATGCCCTTCTTCCCTACCCCCATCACGACGGGGCACACAGAGCAGCTGGAGGGTCAGGAAAGGCTGGGCCCAGCTGGCCAGCAGGTGTCCGTCGGGAATGCTTCTGAGAGGCTGAGAGGGAGCCCCTGGTCAGACATTCCTGGTCAGAGTCTGTACGTGGGCTAAGAAGAGGCAAGCAGGCTGAGGGCAGGGGGTGGGTGCATCCTGGGTCACAGTGGACAGGGTCACACCCTCCATAAGAGGAGGTGGTTTGTGCTGTCGTCTCGGCCCACAGTCTCACTGCTGCCTCCGCCCCCGCTGCTGAGTCGGAAGTCCTCGTAGCCGTCACCTCCACTGATGACGAGCATTTTAGGCCTGGCAGAGGCAGGACCTCTATGCCGAGGGGAGTCCCGGTGGTCCAGTGATGGCAGCTTCTCAGGGCCTGGAGGGCAGAGGGGAGGATCTGTTAGCCTGGGGGCGGGGGGTGTGTGTGACAGGTGATCTCACTGCTCAGTATGGCCTAAGTTCCCTTACCCCAGAAGATAGGACGAAAGCTATGCACACTTCCTACGGAGGATCCCACTTCCTGGCACTCAGATTTCTTAGCTCCCGTCTGCACTTGTTAGTCACAAGGGATATAACTTCCCAGGGCCACACCACTCTAGCATCTTGATTACTGCACACAGACTGTCCTCCAGTACTCTGATCGCTTCTACTTCCCACAGCCCAGACCCAGGGAGGCAGCTTAAGTCTCTTCTGGACCCCAGACCACTCGTAGCACAGGCTGTCCTGCTTCCTAATTCCCACAGCCCTGACAAAGCAAGACTTTGCTCACTGTGACCTCCTTGGTGCATACATCGTTTCCTAATATGTTTCACTTTCTGAGTCTCGCAGGCCACCCTGTTTTATATGCCACCCTATGTTCTATTTTCTGACGCTATTTCTATTTCTTGTTCTACACATCACTTCCGGATTCACTTCCTGCCCTATATATAATTTTTACTTCCTGCTGTATATGCCTCTCCTGTGCTGTATTTTAATTCAATCTGACATACACAACCCCCACCCCATATCCTAGAAGATTTCATTTTGGAGTTTCTATGGCCTACTTCCGTAAATGACACTTTCAACTTTGCATCATACTTTTCCTCCCTCTTAAGCCCCTTCTGGCAGGACAGTGGGAGTCCTAAACCCAAAGTCCAGCACCCTTGGGTTGGGGTAGAAGGTGCAGACCCACCTGTGTCTTGGGGAGGTGGTGGGGTTGGGCAGAGCAGGTTGAAACCATCTGGCAGCTGGACTGCAGCCAGGAAGCGAACATGGCCAGTGTGTCCCTGGCCTAGACCAGCAGGGTTGAGGGGTGCCCGTGGGCAGCTGACTGTACTGGGTGAGGTGGGCATGGTGAGCACAACACCGGCGCTGGTGCCCACCCACAGCAGCTCCCCACACACCAGCAGCGCTGTGATCCTCAGGCAGGCAGCCTTGTGCTGCCGGATGATGGCATCCGAGCCTGTGGTGGGAGACAGACCAGAATTAGGGCCCAATCCTAGCCCTGGCTCAGACTCCTCAATGCCAGGGGCAGAATGGGTCTGAGGGCAGGCACAGTGGTGGACTGAGGTCATTACCTGCCAGCATCCTGTGCACAGGAGGTGTGACGTCTACCTCTGCCAGCTGCTCGAAAGTCTCTGGGTGATAGAGACATACGTGGGCACTCCCTTTCAGGGTCACCCATACACCCAGGCTGGAGTCCACCATGCAAGCCACATTGCGGCTGGAATCCTGCCCCACATAGAACGTGTGCTGGTGGGGGGCAGACAGAGAGTGGGTGGGTGACTGGCAGACATGCCTTCTCCAGCTCCTCCCTGCCTTGTGCTTCACTAAGGCCCATCCCTCTCTCCTTAAAACGCACACCAACCCCCTCCAGGAAGCCCATTCAGCCTGACACAAAGGCAGCTTTCCTCCTGGTCTGGAAGATTAACCTTTCAGAGCTTGTTTCACTGGAGTCTCCCCACTTAATCCTTAGGAATTAAGACGAAGGTGCCCTCTCCCCTTGAAACTTAAGTGATTTAATGATCAGAGGATTTCAAAGCTAGTGGGTCTAAAGACCAATTATAGCTCCCATGTGCTCATTTCCCTCTCCTAAAGGCCTGGCTCACCCCAAGTCACCAGTTCCTTCCCCACACCCCATGCTACCTCCAGCTGCAGTGTGTCAGGGCTCAGGACAAGGACTCGGTTCTGGCAGCCACACCACAACCGCCCGCCCACAGACACCATCTTGGTGATGGGACTCCCCTGAGCACCCAGGGTCACTGATTTGAAGTTCTGGGGGTCCCAGAAACGGCCTGCAATGGGAGTGGGGTAAAGAAAAAAAAGCAAAGTCAGTCCAGTATTGCGTTTGAACCTCACCCCCTCCTGACATGAGGTGCTAACAGCCCCATTTATCAATGAGGACACCAAAGCTCAGAGAGGGCCTGAGAGGTGCCCAGATCACATCTCCAGATTCATGGCCCCATGGCCCGGGCCTCGCTCAGGAGAGCGCTCCCACACCAGTGAGGGGCCAGAGGGCTGGGGGAGGGGGACACCCACCTGCTTCTCTTTGGTAAACCACAAGTTCTCCATTGGCCAGAGACACAAACACCTGGTTATTCAGATACCTAGACAAAGTAAAAAGGAGTTGAGGGTTTCAGAAAGGAGGCCAAAGTAGGTCACCTGGGGCCAGGAGAATCAGACAGAATTGCTATGGTTCCCAAAAAACCACCTCCACCCGCCCTCCTGTTCTCAAGGTGCAGAGCCTGAGTCTAAGAAGGTGGAGTTTGCCCAAGGTGGTATGTATGCAGGAGGCTCAGCCAGCTTAGGGCCAGGCTTCTGGCCTCCAGCCTCCACTGAGAGGAGGAGCTGTTAGAGCAGTGAACCCAAGTAAATAGAAGGAGGCCAGCATGTGCAGCTGGGAAGGCTCTGGACAAGAAGGGCTACCCAGGGGCCTTACAGAATGCAGGTCACAGAGGCCGAGTGCTGGAGCTTCATGCTGTTCCTGCGATCACGGATGCTGTCAGAGGACTGGTACACGTGGACACTGCGGATCAGGGGTGTGCACTTGTGACAAATGCTTGGGCACACCAGTCCCTGGACTCATCCCCCACCTCTTTGCCTCCACCACCATGTCCTCCATGCCAGGTGCCAGCCCATGGTACGGAGGTCCCACCGCCTCTTTGCTGGTGTCAAACCCACTGGCAGCTCTGGCTAGTGGTACCCTTGAAATGGGACCCAAAGCACGCCTGTTTCCACTTTAGGATGCCATTTGATTTCCTAAGCAGTGAGCTTGGGGTTCTGGCACTGTATCCCCATCCTTTCCCCAGTCCCTACCAGCCGTCCTCAGTGCCCAGCCACACGGAGCTCTGGTAGGCCTCATGGTCAACACTCAGCAGGTCCTCGAGGCTGCCCTGGGTGAAGGAACCACGGCTGGAGCGGCGAAGGGCTCTCCCATCCATTGGGCTGGTGCCACAGGGACCTCCAGGCCCAAAGGAGCCGGACAGTGGCAGAAAGCCAGGCTCCTGCTCCTCCTCTGAACTGGTTGTCTCCGCTGTGGCCTCCTTGGAGCTTGGGGTCTCCTCATCTGAGGAAGACAAAAGTCTTTATGTCCATTCCCCTCTGCCAGGCTGGGAACCCGACAGTTTTCTAGGCTTCATTCTCTCTTCCATGCAATCCTCCTGGCTCTGTCCCTCTCTAACCCTGAGGCTCTGCATCATCTCAGGCCTTGTTAATGTGCTCACTGGCCCTCGCCAATCTGCTGCCGTAGCATGGACCAGAGGGGCTAATCACTCTGTCCTTCATCTTCCTTACCCAAAAACTCCAGGGTCTTCAGGATCTGGCTTGATTATCCTACTATCTTTAGGGTGCTCAGTGTCACAGCTCCCGCCCACCTTGCTGGTTGGCAGTTTGTGTTAACAGTTTTGATGCCTTGCCTTTGTCTACACTGGTCCCTCCTCACCCATCAGTACTAGCTGGATGACCCCCTCCTTGTCAGGCCCTCCTGCCTGACAGCCTCAAGTCAGGCACTCACTGCCAAAGCTGGAGGAGATGGTGGAACGGCTGGCCTGGCTCTGCAGGGTCCCAGAGGGGCTTGGTGAAGACTCATCGTCAGAGTCACTGTCAAAGGGCACCAATTCTGGACGGGGGTCACCCTCGGAGAGACTTGTTGCCATCTCCAGGCCTGAGCCTGCAATGGAGATGTGCAGGCAGGGCTGAGGCCCCCGCTCTGCCAGCGTCGCTGCTTCGTCTGCGGCTTCAACGTCCAGTTCGGGCCCAGCGGACTCAGGCGCCATGTCCGTGGGATTGCTCAGTGATGAAGGCTGCTCGCTGGGAGACCAGAGTGGGAATGAGCGCTCGAAACAAGGCTCTGGCCGCCCCACGGACATACCCACACCCTGCCCCTGCCCACATCACCGACAGGCCCTCAACACCCACGGGGTAGCCTCAGTGTGTGTTGGGGGCAGGGGCTCAGGGACTCGGTCCCCCAGTCCCAAGGCCTGCCAGCTGCCCGCGCTCACCGGTGGCAGCGGCGCTGCAGGCCGGGCACTGCCCCGATGCAGAGGATGCGAGCTGAGCAGACGGCGATGCAGGCCTCCACGTCGGGCTCGGCACGCAGGCTCAGCAGGCACACCTGGCCCACGTAGCCATCGCTGTTGCACACCCACACCTCTGGCGTGGGCTCCGGGTAGCTGCTCAGGGTGGGGGCTGCGCATGAGAACTGCAGAAAGTACCAGTGAAGGGGAACATTAACAGAGGAATTGCTGCCAGGCCTCCTCCCCACTGCTCTCCAAGCAGACAAGTAGAACTTAGAGGGAGTGTGGGAGAGAGGCCCGGTGCTATGAATTCCCAGAACAGACCTTTGCATACCTGTATACATGTATGCAGCGTGCACATGATACTTTTTACTCATCAAATGCACATCCATGTGATAGGCACCATCCATGCATCCATGTACACATACATGTACCCTGAACACCACTGCATGTATATGCAGGCAACAAATGTGAAAATGGAAACCTTTGCCCATATGTGTGCACTCATGCAGCACATAAATTAAACACCTTCCATCACTCATATAGCCTTTGTTCACATGCACAGATCCAGACGTGAGCATAACTGTGCATCTGCAGAGAGCAATGGCAATGTTTACGACTTGAACATAATGTACACAAAACAAAAATACTTGAACACACACTGGCTTTGAATACAGGCACCCACGAGACCCAGGTGTACGCACACACCTGCATGCCGCTGCGAGTTTTCATTATGGGGATGGCCTTCAGGAACTCAGGGTCTAGACAACTTTTGCTGGATGCTGTAATGGAAATGGATGGACAAACAGACACAGCTTAGCATCCACTTCACTCTGATGCTGACCCTGTCCATTTCCCTTCTTCCACTGCCCCTCAGAACAATGTGGGAAGTGGAATCAGTGTGTCTAAGGACCTTCTAAGTCATGGACACTGATCAAGTAGCTTTCCCTGACTCAGGCCTGCTCAGAGAGAGAGAGAGAGAGAGAGAGAGAGAGAGAGTGTGAGTGTGTGCGTGCGTGCGTGTGTGTGTGTGTGTGTGTTGAGATGGGGATTCTGGACTGTAGTCCCCTGCCCTAAACTGACCCTAACCATGGATTTCCCTCCCTACCAGGAGGCCCTGGGGGAGTCTACTGCTTCACTGCAGAATCTCCGCCCACCCTTCCACAGCACATGGCAGTCCTGGATTTCTGGCTCCTGATGTCACGTGTCAGTCAGCTTTAGGGTGCGACCCACTGCCTACTGCCTGGAAGTTCTGGGAGGCAGGATGGGTCCTGGCTTACCCAGCTTCCTCTTGGCCTCATCAAAGGCCTGCTCGAAGCCAAGGCGGGCATCAGGGTGGGGGAACTCGAAGATGAAGGAGTCCGTGCCCTCGGGTCTTGTGGTACATAGCTCCAGCTTGGTAGGGGGGAAGGAAAGTGCATAGCACAGCGCCTGCTTCTCTGACAGGTCCCGGTGCATGGCAGCTGAGAGGTCCCGAAGTGCATCGTCCAGACTCTGCAGGGAGAAGGACCCAGGTCTCAGGCCCAACATCTCCCCACAGTCTGTTCCTACCTTGGGGATGCATCTGGGTCCTGCCTGCCCCATTCAGCAAGAGGTAGCCTAACCGCACCCCCAAGCACCCCCCCCCCCCAGGGATTAGGCCTCTTTTGTCCCTTTCTGGGAAGGAAGCTGTGTCTCCAAACTCAGACCTGGAACACATGACTTCCCTCACATGGGGTGAAGCTGTATTTCCCCCTTAGATCAGTGATGGAACATCTCCTGCCTTAGGCAAATAAGTTTGTTATCCCCTCCTCAGAGTCAGGGAACCCCCACTCTCCTAGCCTCAGGATGAGGGCACAGACCTGGTGGGGGAAACCGAGGCTCTCAGAGAGTTTGCTCATTTGCCCCAGGGTGGACAGGTCCTCGTCCAGGCGGCTGATGGCCTTCTGGATGTTCTCCCGATTAGTAGCTTGGGATGCCCCTGGTAGGGATAGAGGAAGGCCATGGACAGATCCAGACAGAAACCAGGTCAGACCTGGACAGGCATTCTTCCCCTCACCACACAACTTACAGTTGGGGGTGGGGAGTGGCCTGGCAAACAGCATAAACCCAAATTCCTGGGAACAAAATCAACAGGCATCTCAGAGAAATCTCAAACCTGAGAGCAAGATACTAAGTCTGATTCTGAGCCACATGACTCAGGATGTTGGGTGTCTGGAGAACTCCATGGAAAAGCACAAAGAACGAACAACGGACAGTCCTGCAAGTCATGGAGGCTACAGCTAGGGCTGGACTTGAGGAAGTGCAGGCAGAACCTCGGCCAGTCAGACTGCTGACAGAAGGACTCATTCCCACTCACAAAGGACAGAGCAATGAGCTGACACCTGTATTTCTCTGGTCCTACCACTGTCAAACAGCTGGTCCCACAAGCCAGCTCAGCACCCCTCACCCCACACTGCCTGGCTGGCAATGCCACTCTGGACCAAAGCCCACAAATGGCAGAGTAAAGCGTAGTGGAACATACCAGCCAAGCCAAGGGAAGCTGCTCCCCCACCTCCAACCCTCACCACCTGGGCAGTCACATTTTCTTCCATATGACTTGGCCCTATTCCTGGCCACAGCAGGACTAGCACTGGGCACCCAATCTAGTCATTTTGTAAACTAGCCTGTTCTTTGTGATTACTGGTATAGAAATTATTTGTCTCTGGACCAATAATCAGCTTATATTCCTACATGGGGTCCTTGTGGGGCAGTTCTAGGTTTACCTAAAGGATGAGCAAGCCCCTTCCTCACGGGGTAGGGGTTAAGGGGGGCACCTCAGGTGAGCCTGGGGGCAGAACCTGGTCCTGAACTGTTTATTGCTTCAAAGGTGCACACACCACCATGCCGACCACCCCACTCAGTCCCTCAGGAAGTTAAACTGTGGATCCTGGAGCAGCTAGGATTCAGAGTTGAGGGAGAGGGGCCAAGATGCAGAAAAGGGCATGATACGAAATGGGAGAGGGGGGAGGGGAAGGGAGAAAGGGGGGGAGGGGGAGAGAGAGAGAGAAAGAGAGAGAGGAAAGTGAGAGAGAGAGAGAGAGAGAGAGAGAGAGAGAGAAAGCATACACAGCAAGTGGAGTCGCTCCCTGAAGCCACCTCAGCTCCTGTATCACAGCCCCAAACAGGAAGGCTCTTTCCAACTGACCGTTTGCTTGGATGGCCTGACTGACTGACTGAGTCTGCTCCCTGTGCACCAAACCACCAAGCTGAGCCTCAAACTCAAAGTACCCATTAATCGGCGCTCTACAAGCAGTAGCACAAACCTTTTCATACGAGGTAGACCACAACTGTGCCTCATCGTCTAATATGAGGCACTTACATGAGTTTGTGCAGAGGGTCAATGCTAATTATGAGGTGTCTGCACTCTCCACACCACCCCCTGCCAATCTAGGTCAGGTCCCAGGAGGGTCAGCAGGAATCAGTATGGACAGGTACTGGTTTGGCTCTGTGGGAGCCAACTGCATCCCGCTTACCATCCCCATTGCACTGGATGGGAAAGGGAAGCCCCAAAGCAACAAAGCAGCTGGGTAGGCATCAGCCTGGCCGCAGCTCAAATCCTCCAGAGGGATACTCAGAGGAAGACCCCCAACACTGGAACCCCTGGGCAGGCCTAAGGAAACCCCACCTTTGATGATGTCTGCATCTTCCAGGGGCAGCTTCCACAGTAGCTTGTACTTGCTGGCCGTGTCAATGACGCTGGCTGCCGTGTACCTGTAGGGAGCCAAGCGGATGCTCTGGCCACTGCAGGGGAGTGGGGCCAGGGAGGGACAACTATTCCCTCTGTGTAGCCACCCAGTCCCTCAAGTCACTCACAGGCTCATAGAGCTGCGCCGCAGGGAGCCTGACTTCCTCTTCAGGGTGGTGCAGATGATGAGGTCGGTGAACAGGAAGAGAGACCGGTCCTTTTTGCCGCCAACTGCCTTCTGTGGGGCCCAAGTCTGGATTCAGGCCCAAAGCCCACTCTCCTGCCCACACACCCCAGTGAACAGCAAGGTCCAGGGAGAGGGCTCTCGTAGCTGCCCAGAAGCAGAGGTGGGACTCAACCCATGGCACCAGTTGGGGTGGAAAAGCAGGCAGAGCCATGGGCATAGGTACGAGGGGCAGCGTGAAGGAATTGGGGAGGTGGGGATAGGGGCGAACAGGATACTGCTTACCACTTCAATGACCATCTCCTGCCTGAGGAACCGCCGCAGAGGGGCCTGGAGCTGTGAGGCAGAGGCAATAGGGTATCTTAAAGGCTGATTATTAATGTTTATCTCTCCCTAGGCCCCAGGGACCCTTGGCCTCACTCCACTGGCCAGGCCATCCACCCTCCTGATGCTGTGCTATGCAGGCCTCAGGACACATGGCCAGAGGCAGACAGAGAAGTAAGAGCTGCTGGAAGACATGGACACAGCCATGATGCCCAGTGACCATAGGTATGGACACAGGCCAAGCAACATAGGAGTGGGAGGGGCAAAGCAGGGTGGCACGCACATCCTCCATGCCCTCGATGTGAGCTTCGATTTCCTGCAGCACACGGGCATGCCGTTCTGCTTCCTCGGCACTCCGGACGCCCTTGTTGATACGTTCAGCCACCTGCTTGATGTTCCGCTGTGCATCCAGCAGGAGTGGGTGGTCTGGGTGGTCCTCAGGTGTGTGCTTCAGGAGATCCTGCAGGGGGAATGGGGACCAGACGTGCTGTTCAAGCCCAGGGACCAGACCCCTGACAAACCCAGGGGTCCCATATTGACAATTGGAGCAGAACTGAGTAGACACAGAGTGGACTTCCTTTCCTACCTGATGCCTCCGGGGACCCTAATGCTAGACTCACCTAGGCAGGGGCCTCAGAGCCCCATGCATCCCTACCTGCCCATCCAGTCCCATGCCCACCTTCACCAGAAGCTCATAGCGTGGGATCCGCTGCACGGGCTTGATCATGAGGTCGGACAGTGCCTGCTTCTCCTTATTCTCACGCATGCTTTGCTGAAATTCAAAACAGAGTAGGTAGGAATGAAATACAAAGAAGGGAATATCCAGGAGAAGCCCCCAGTCAGCCCCTCCAGCTCAGCCAGAGGGTAGAATATGACCTACTGGCTAGGACTGTGGTACCCAGGCTGAAAGCTCCAAGGAACCCCAGAGCTGATCCAAGGTGGGGGGGTCACCTCCATCCCTTGCCTGGCCCACAGTACCTCCAGGAACTTGAGAAAGGCTGGCTTCGCCTCCTTAGCCACACGCACGGCATCCTTTGCGTTGAGAAAGTTATCGATATAGGCTGAATAGATATTGACCAGGACGTCCTTGGAAAACTGTGGGTGAAGAAGCAGGTTGGAGACCCTCAATGTGTCCCTTACCCCACTTCATCCTGTCCTGGTTTCCACTGATTTACAAACCAACACTGTTCCCCTCCAACTAGAAGTAACACAAGGGATGGGGCACACAGGAGTGTTCGTGTGACTGTGTGACATGTATCTTGCTTGTGTATGCACATATTATACATATGTGTCCCTAGACGTGGCTCTCTTACTTCCAACTAGGCATTTCCATCTCTTGGTCTCCAATTCTCTCTATAACCCCCACCACCTCAAGTCCATCAGGCAGGATTCCCTCCTCATTGTCTTGTATGACACTCATTCCAGACCCCTGAATGCTCATATAATTCCCTCCACCAAACATGTCCATCCCCCTCCAAATCTCACCCCAGCTCAGGGCTGAGCGCCGGTCTGCCTTCTCTCAGAAGCACTCTCAACCTTGATTAGAACTCTGCCTAGGACTATAGTCGGCCTAGGCCACCCTCGGTCCCCTAAGTCTCCCCTCTCCAATAAGAGGGGCATCCCCACCCCGCCCAGTAAAGGCACTCAGGGCAGGACACAGAGCTGGTAGCAACACCTGCTGGCCAGCTGGTGCCTGGGCTAAATGTGAGGGTTTCGGCTAGAACTTGGGACACCCCAGTTCCTGCCTCTGCTGCACCATGAATGCACACAGAAACCTGTGATGGAACTTCTGCCCGCTCTGTGCTTTTGAGCTTCTGCCACCCTGAAGGACTGTCCTTCCCCAGTTGTGCTGAGAGCAGAGGCTGAACAACTCTGAGAGGAAGAACACCCCACCAAATGTCCCCCATCCTGGGACAGAGCATTTCATGCTGACCCTCCCTGGGACCAAGGGCTTCCACTGCAATCCATGGTCAGTGTCAAGGTCTGAGCAGGGGGTGAGGCTAGTGACACCGAGGGTGGTGGTAGCCTGGGGATGTCAGCATGTGGCCCCACTGCTGCTGGGTCAAGGTTCTCACCACTTCTGTTTCCTGGTCAGCAGGGACCTTCTGAGACCCTTTTAGGCCTAAGACTCACCCACATTAAAACACACTCACATCCCACAAAATAGATACATGTATATATTTTTTGCTACTAAAATTGTTGGAGGGAGTACCGTAATTTTGCTTTTGAAATTAGTTGACTCTGAATAACAATTTAGTTTGTTAAGTTTAGCTATGATTTCTCAGTCATCATCACACATTCTTAGGAATTTCTGGCAAAGCAACAAAATGCAACAAATTTTTCAAGTATAATTAAATTCTCATGAATACTAAACAATTAGAGAAAATAGCACGTTATATTTTATAGACATTTAATAAATGTTTATGAGTTGTGCTTTTGCGATTCTTTTTGAGTTTTGAAGCCAATGCCTTTCCTAAGATCCCCATCACTACTGCAGAGTCTTGAAAAGCTCAGAGGAGGTTTCACCTGTTGCGAAAGGGAGTACCAGATGGGATAGAACATGCGTGCTGGGACCACGTCTCCTGGGGTTGAATCCTCCACTTACTATGACTTTGATCAGGTTAGATGCACAATTATCACCTTTAAACTCAAGGAATAACTGCACCTCCTCCTTGAGTTGTTAATACATATATAAACACATATAATGTATTTAATGCCTAGCATCTATTGAGGGTAAAATAGTTAGCTATTATTACTAAAATGCCTGATGGAGAAAAGAACTAGTCAAGGTAAGGACTGAGGTCAGTAGCTGCAACCATTTGAGTCTAGATCGGCATCAGCACCAGTTCAGGGTCAGGGCTAAGGTCAAGTGCCAGCAATTGGGGTTGGTTCCAGGATCATGTTGGATCTGTGGTTCCAGGACACATGTCAGAGTCCAGCCAAGTTCTGGGGTTGGGCAGTGCCCAGGTTCAAGTCAACCCACGGACTAGGGTCAGAGCCAGTGTCGAGTCAAGGTCTGGGCTCAGATCTGAGCGCAGAGTCAGTATCTAGGTGGAGTGGGGAAAGGATGGGTGAGTGATCCACGGCAGCATCTAGTCCTTTCAAGAGGGGCCAGAGCTAGTAGGGGCACTCACCGACTGGACAAGCAGGTCTCCCACCTTCTGCTGGGCATGCCACGTCTGCACGCAGTGTCGCACCTGCTCCAGGAACTGCTCGTGGTGCTCCAGAAGCTCAGGGATCTGGTCAAAGATCTCATCCACCAGTGATGGGTCACACAGCAAGGAGTTCTCTGGCTGCTTCAATGGTTGCATGTAGCCCTGGGGGATCCATGGGTCAGTGCAGGTCCCCTCAGAGTAACGGCACCCCAACCTACTGGCATAGCTGTGCACAATCACCCACGGCTGCAGCTCGGTAGCCCTACCTCCTGGATCTCCTTTTATTGATAGATTTGGAACTCTAGGAGAGAAATGGGAAGACCTAGTCCCATGACCCTTATTGTGTAGCCCAGGGCTTGGCACAAGATGGGTGTGACAAGCTCAGGAAAGGTTTTTTGGATGCATGAAAAATAATTTTGGAGTGAGAAAAGCAAAAAGATTGGGCTCCCTGGAAGACTCCCCCCTATACACACACGCTGATTTAGCAAATATTTTATTGAGCACTTACTATGTCAGGTACTATTCTAAGAACTGGGAAACAGTTGGGAAGTGCGCACATGCACGTGCACACACACACACACACACACACAGAGTAAACCACTTTTCATCAAATATAAGATGTACTGTTATTTCTATTTATCCTAAAGAAAAAAATTGGTTGCCCCCTAAATTATGATATGTCACCAATTATAGGAAGAAACTTGATTTCAGAGAGGTTAAGATGTGAAAAATGTGTCTTCACATTTTAGAATGGATTCCATCTTGGAAAGTGAGTGGTAAGTTAAAAGATGGCAATTGCTATGGAAAAAATAAAGCAGGGAGGGCTATAGGAAATCATTGGTGGCTTTTAGTGACACACACGAACACTGTTTTAACAGATTTCAGATAGATCAGTCAGTCTATAACTAAAACTCCTTATTTGTCACGTTAAATCTGCATTGGATGATTCCTGGAGAGACGGCCCTCTGCTGGCCGTAACGGTAACTACAGAGAAAAGAAACGGTGTTTGTTGAGACAAAGCATATTCAGTGTTAGAATACAATTTATATTAAACATTTTTAAACATCTGGTTTGTTTATAAAACAAACTCAAGAAAGGAAAGTCCAAAGAATCCTCTTCGCCTGGTTGGGGATTCTGAAAAGGCCAGAGGATGGCAGTGAGGAGACAGGCGGGCTGCCTCCCTGTCACAGCAGGCCAGCCTGAGCCAGCGCCTCCTCTGCACCAGCTTCTGTTACCCCACAAGGAGTGTGAGCTGAACAGCTCACCTCACAGCCCTAGCACTCCACGTAAAAGCAGTGGGAGAATAAACAGCAACTGAAAACCCGATACAGAACCTGCTAGGAACCAATATCTGTATTCACTCACTACATCCTTGTCCAACAGCAACTTAAGCACGCCGTGAGCAAACCAATGTCCCTGCGTTTGTGGAGCTGACATCTTAGTGGAGGGAGGCAAAACGTAGGCACCAAAAATAATGAAATTATGATGCAGTCTGTTAGAAGGTGGCACACGCTATGAAAGCCGGGCCAGGCGTGCTAGCAGAAGGGGGCTTGATAGCTGGGAGTATGGGGTTGAAAAAAGGCTGAAAGGGTGAGGGAGATGCTGAGGAAAGGGGGTAGCCTTTTGGACGTGGGTTCAAATCCCAACTCCCTCTGACTGTTAACCTTGGTAATTTCACTTTCTTCATTTTTTTTTTTTACTTCTTATTTTTTTAATTTTTATTTTTTTACGTCCTTGTTCATTTTTTAAATTTTATATATTTTTAACATAATTTTTCATTTTTTCACAATGTATGCATTTTCTACCCCCCTCACTTTCTTCATTTTAAACTCCAGGCCCCTCAGGAACAATACCAATCAGTGTGGGTGGTAAAGGTCACAGCAAGGGAACATGAGGGCTTAAATCTCAGTCTGAATACCTCCTGAACTTCAGGCAATGTAGACTAGTGGGTGAGAGGGAGGACTCTAGAGACAGACTGACAGGGATTCAACCAAGAGGTTGGCTCCTCCTAGATCTGTGATCCTGAATAAGTTGCTTTACTTCCCCTTGTCTCAGCATCATCATCTGTAAAATGGGGGTTATACTGAGATTTACATGAATGAACTTATGTAAATTGTGTGCATTAAGCATTTAATAAATGTCAGTTTTTAATATTACCACTTGCATAGAATGAATTTATGTCTCTCCAAAATCTGAGTTGAAAGCTAATCATCAGTGTGGTAAGTGTTTGGAGGCTAGGCCTTTGAGAGTGACAGGTGAGTAGTTCCATGAGGATGGAGTCCTCTTGAACAGGACTGTGCCCTTATTTATGAAGGAGCCTCTGAGAGCAACCTTATCTCTTCTGCCCAGTGAGTACACAGAGAAGAGAGGGTAGCTTATAGACCAGAAAGCAGCTCCTCACCAAACACAGAATCCACCAGCACTTGATCTTGGACTCCCTGGCCTCCAGAACTATAAGAAATAAATCTCTATTGTTTAAGTCTATGGTATTTTTGTTATAGCCCCTGAAATAGACTAGGACACCATTTAATAGATGAAAGATACTGGGCAGGTTTTTTTATTTTTAAAAAAGATTTATTTATTTATGCATACAAGAGCTGGGGTACAGGCCGGAGGTGCAGGGGGTGAGAGGATTCACTAGAGACAGAGTGGGGAACAGAACAGGCAGGCTGACTGAAATACACTGCTGAGGGAGGCAGCAGGTGAGACAGGAGAGGTCTGCTGCACCACGTGGGCAGCTCCCTGGCCGGCCTGGGATTAAACTTGTGCTGCAGAGACTGCAGATTGCTTCACAGTGCTGTGCTTAACCCCTTGTGCCACCAGGGAGGCCCTGGGTAGGTTTCTTAACTTCTCTGAGTCTTCACTTCCTCATCTAAAGAAGGGTACTATATTTATCTTACAGGGTTAATACAAGGGTAAATGTGATTTTACATACACACACACGCGTGCATTCAGAGTTGTCAGGCAACATACTAAATTATACACGCAGCTCTCTCGTATTCTATACACCAGGCAGATACTACTATTGTTCCCACTCTACAATCAAGGAAACTGAGGCAGAGACTGGTTATGTAACTTGCTCCAGGTCACCAGGTTGGTCAAGTGGCAGAGGCAAGTTTGAACACCAGTGGCCCGGCTCCAGAACCATGGTCCTGACTCCTGGGTCGGACACAGGGCCGCCTCCAACAACAGTCCTTGGGTCCAGCCGACTCCCTCCGCCTGCCCACTTCCTCCCTTCCCCACACAATATGCTCAGTTTGGCTTCCTCAGCAAGATCCTCCCTTAGCTCTACACCCGCAGGTCCTGCAAGCCTCCACGTGTGCAGCCCTGTGCCAGCCAGAGATTCAGAGATAGAGGGACACGCCCAGGCACTGCCTGACTCCTCTGTGTGAACAAGGTATGGGCAGCCTCTACACCTTTTATTTTGACCCTGGTAGACGGGTATGATTAGTTACAGTGTGCAGACAAAAACACTGAGGCTCAGAGAAGTCAAGTGATTCGGCTAGCATCACCCAGCAGGGAGGTGAATCAAACTATGTGACCCTGATGCCTACAACTCCCATGCAGGGGAAGACAAAGGATGCCCCATCCCTGCACTCCCTGGCCAGACCTCTGGACGGCTACCAGGGCAACCAATTCCATCCTAAAGATGGAATTCCAGGTCCAACCTGGTGGTGAAGCAGGTTGAGCACAGCGCTGTGAAGCTGTCCGCAGCCTCTGCAGTGCAGGTTCGATTCCCGGCTGGACAAGGAGATGCCCACATGACACGGCAGACCTCTCCTGCCTCGCCCGCTGCTCCCCTCAGCAGTGTGCTTCAGTCCATCTGCCTGTTCTGCTCCCTGCTCTGTCTCTGGTGAATCCTCTCACCCCCTGCACCTCTGGCCTGTACCACAGCTCTTGTATAAATAAAATAAATCTTTTAAAAAAAAAGATGGAATTCCAGTTGTATCCCTCTTATGACTTTTTTGTCCTTGCAGTGAAGTCTAACTCCTTGTCCAGCAGCCTCTGAGGCCTGCATGGCCTGGCCCTGTTTCCCTCCCAGCAGCACACTGGCAACCCCTCATCCCTAACTGCTCTCCATCTCCTCTAGGCTCCCAGGCTGTGTTTCTGCTGCCCCTTCCACCTGGGCCTGCTTACCCCCTGCCTACCTCTCAGGTCTCAGTTAAACACTCCAACCTCAGAGAAGCCACACCAGGGCGGGCCTCCATTCTGCATTCTCCTATCAATATGTGCCTTTCCCCCCAACATATAGAAGGAGTGTATTTTTTTCTACCACCATCATTTACACCCCCTTGACCCTTTCTTCTTCTTTTAAGATTTATTTATTTATTTATACAAGCACTGGGTACAGTCAGAAGCGCGGGAGGGTGAGAGAATTCACCAGAGCCAGAGCGGGGAGCAGAGCAGGCTGAAGGACCAAAGTACACTGCTGAGGGGAGCAGCGGGCGGCAGGAGAGGTCTGCGCGCCATGTGGGACCCTCGCCCGGTGGCCGGGGATCGAACCGGCGCTGCAGAGGCTGCGGGCAGCTTCACCAGTGCTCCAGAGCTGCGCCACCAGGGGAGGCCCCCCCCTTGACCCTTTCTCCCTTCCCCTGCCCTGTTAACCTCAGAAATCTCACTCTGTCCACCAGTTTTGTAAGCATTTTACTTTGTGGAATTGTCCGCTATATAAAATGTCTAATATTTGTCTCTGTCATAATGACTTGCTTTACTTTTCTACACATAATTCCCTTGAATTCCTTCCATCTTGCCGTAAGTGGAAGTATTTCACTCATGGCTAAATAGTATCCCGTTAGTGTGAACATCTTCTTGATCTAATCTTCTATTCATGGGCAAAAGCAATGTATTCTTTGTGGTTCAATACAGGAAACATGAAATTCACCATTTTAATAATTTTTAAGTGTACAGTTCACTATACTCACATTCAGTCCCACTGCTCTGTCACCCGGTCAAAAGCCCAGGCCTCATCCCAGGCTTTCCTACCTCACACCTCCAGGCCTGACTTGACCAGTCCAGCTCTAGTCTGCCCCCAACTCTCCCTCCCTCCAGTCTCTGCCCTGGACCCTGGATCCTTTCCCCCCTCGCCTGTCCTCAGTGGCCTTGGCCTCCTCTTCTGCCACCCACCTTCCCAGCAGTCAGACACATTTGTGAGGTATGAGTAAGGCATGTGGCTACACACTGCACCTGCTCAAAGCCTGTCATTGACTCTCCCTGCTCTCGGGGCAGCTGAAACCCTGCTCCAGATATTCAAGATCCCTTCCCAGCTGGCTCCGCCAGTATCACCACAGGGCCAACCCCTTGAGCTCTGTGCTGGCTATAGGGACCACTGAATGGGCCCAGCCTCGCCCGACTCGACTCTATACATGCTGTTCCTGCTGCAGAGATGATGGGGTAGGCAGAAGCCAGCACCTCCTTCAGGGAACCTTTGTGACCCCTCACCTCACAGGTGTCCCTTTGATCTTCGAGAGTGCCCATGTACTCAACTATGTCCCCAACATGACTGAGCTGCTGTGGCAGGGGCCTGTCTCTCTTATCCCTGTGTTTCCTGTACCTGGAATAGGGCCTGGCACATAGTAAGTGCTCTATATTGAATTCCATTCAACAAATATTTTCCTAGTCAACAAATAAAATGGAGGAAGGCACATTAGAAGGAGTTCACCGGTCTAATTTCAGACCCAGGACTGCCAGGAGAAGTGGAAGGAAAGTAGGAGGGGGCACCAGGCCTGAGGTGGCCTGGTTTGCCCTTGTTAAGGCCCCTCTGTGTTCTCTCCTGCTCTGGAGGGACTTCCAACTCTGAGGCAGCCCCGTGGGGAGTTCTCCATGGAGGCCTGGTACGTCCCAGGGTCACTGCTTTCTGGTTGCGGCGCCTTGGACATGAAATGGGTTTGTCTCCGCCTCCTTGATTCAGTATAGCCACTCTCGGGGGCCTGGGGTGGCCCGGAGACTCACCTGCATCAGGGTGCGCAGTGACTCCACATACGACTGCTCTGTGTCCAGCAGGGTCATGGTCACATGCTTCCGCATGTCCTGGGGGGTCAGAAGGCAGAGGATGAGCAGTGCTTTGTTCCCTTCAGACCCCAACATGCTCAGTCACACAGGCCCAGAGATCCTGCCCATACCCTCTCCCCCGATTTCAAGACCTGCCTGCTGCCCCCCTCCCAAGGGCAACCTAGACCTCCTGGTTACCAGTTACCAGGTTTTGCCCACATGCTCCCCCTGTAGGTGGCAGCCTTTCCCCTCAAACCCGGGTGTCCCCAGTATGTGCTCATGCCAGGCACCCCCCCACCAGCCATGGCTATTGGCAGGCCTGGAGATCTCCTGTTCTTGGATCCCCCATTGGGCTCTTGAAAAGGTATCAAAAAAAATCAATAACCTCTTACACTTGCAAAGGAAGCTGCCAGGCTGATTCTCCCTGCCCCCGCCCCCACCCCCCAGCTGCCAACGCTGCATGCCCCACCTTCAGGTTCAGTACTGCGAAGTCTGGATGTTGGCAAAGCCTTCCCACAGAACAGGGGTTGTCCTGACAGGGAAGCATTCCTGCCTCCCTGGTTGGGCTTCTCATCATCCCCGGCAGTAAGAACTGTCACCCCCTTGAAGTCAAGGTAGCCCAGAAACGTGAAGTTGGTGGCTGTCACACAGCTGGGCTGGGGCAGGTGTCCACAAGGCTGGGTCCCAGTTCTCACTTATAAAGGTAACTGAGCCAGGCGCTATTCTAAGTATTGTTTTTCAATCCTTTTGACCTCCCTGAGAGGTAGACATTTTAAGGATGGGGAAAAGGAAACCCAGGTACTAACACCTCCATCCTGAGGATCCGGATCTGAATTGTGGAGTTCCTGGGAGTGGCCAAACTCAGCACCCACACCCCCGGGGACAGGGTGGGCAGCCCCATAAGTGCAGCCCTTACTCTGTTGGAAGGCTTTGCGAGAAGCCAGCCCAGGGGTGCCTGCTCAGCGTTTAACTCCCTGGGACTCGTTTTATCTACCGTCCCTCCATATCAGTGCCTATCCCTCTCACCTACTCCTCCAGGAAGCCTTCCCAGATGGTATCAGCCCTAACACTTCTCTTTCCAGGCAGGGGTTCCACTCCAGGACTCCCCTAATTCCCTAGAGTTGTCCTGAGCAAGGCCCCTTAATGCCCTGGGGGGCCCAGATCTTTGGGGCTTATTCTTGTTTTCTGTTTCCCTCCCAGGCATCAGCTTGGCCACAGCATCTGTCCGGACCCTGTCTCAGGTTCCAGAATTTAAGGAGTGTCTGAGCAGATACTCTTCGCATATGGCAATACCAGGGTGGGTGTCTATGTCTGCAGCATCCCTCCAGTCTCATCCCTAGAAGCCTTCAGGGTAAGAACTCAACCAGTGGGCTGTCCTGGTCACTGCTGTGCCCAGGGTGTATGTGTACTAAGTGGACATGAGCCTTGATCCTTTGTAGTCTGCCTGGTCCAGCCACTGCTCACACCACTGCTTGTGGTATGTCTCCCTCTGACCCAGGGACTCAGGGATCAGGCTGTCCGCCAAACCTGTCCTCCAATGAGGCACATTCACAGAAGTGGGCTCCTGTGCTAGGAAATCAGGGGTGAGGAATGTGAAAGACACCTTTGGGGGAGGGGAGGGAGCTGGCTTGCCCCATCCCTGCCAGTCCTCAACTCTGGTGGGTGAGATGCCTCAGAGCATCCAACTACACAAACCCGACCAGCTAGCCTTAGTGCTTTAGGGCCCTTAAAAACAGAAACAAAACCAAAACCAAAAACAAAAACAGAGCAGCTTCCCATAAGAGGTAGCATGAGTCAAGCCCACTCTAGGATGAGAGCTGGGGAGAACATAAGGGCCAGAAGAGCCTCCCAAAGAAGTGAGACACCTCATCCTCCCAGGACCTCCAGCGCCATCTTAGCATGTCACAGACATGGCCTCATTTCAGCCCCGCCCTCACATGGTGTCACCAACTCCAACATCAAACGTGAAGAAGTGACATCGAGAGGTGACAGGACTCACCCAAGGTCACACAGCTAAATGACCAGCTGGAATCAGAGTCTCTTCAGCCACCTCAAGCTGACTCTGAAGGGTCTAGCACCTGGAGTTCTCACCCAGATGGACCGCCCAGCTGTTGGTCACAGGGTCTGTCTCTCTTACCAGCTGTGTGACCTTGGGTGATCATCTGGACCACTCTCCCTGGGTTTCCAAATCCTCCTCTGAGAACTGGAGAAAAAATACCTCCTTTCCAGAACTGTGACAGCAAGGAGATGCACTCCCCACACACACTGGGGATTCAATGCCCACTCTTACTCCACACACCAGTGAGGCTGTTTATTTATGCCCAGCTCCCTGCTGAAGAGGGAGTCCCAGGGAGTAGGCCCAGGCGAAGCTCAGCTCTGAGCCACAAGCTACCTTCCCTCCCTCAATCCCCTGACCAGGTCAGGCCCAGCTGGGTGTGGTAGGGGTCATGGGCAGGAAATCTTCCTGAGGGAGCAAGGCTGCTGCTGGGCCTGTGGCCTGGAGGACTAGCGTAACACCGAGAGGCTGACACTGCAATGCTCAGCCCCTTCTCTGCTTAAAAGCACATGGGCTGTCATTCAGCTGTCAGGCAGACGCATAGAAAACAAGGCCAGCTCCCTGTGAGTGCACTGAACGCCCTGCCACACGTGCCCAGACATGGGTGTGAGTGCATGTTGGGAGGGGGGCAGGAAAGGGGAAGCAGGAGTCAGGTGGTACAGCTGTTCACAGAGCAGCACACCCTCCTGTTTCAGGTGGGACAGCCCTGTGGGCCCAGTCTCCCCCAGAACCCCTCACCCCTCAACAGCCTTATCCCTAGACTTTTACTAAATGGGGCACTGAAGTGGGAGGGGGATACAGCAGAGGGATATAGCAGGAAGACAGAGGTAGCCCGGCCTGTCAGTACGATTGGAACATCAAGACCTCGATATACAGGGAGATACAGGTACACAGAGAGAAGCCATAAAGGTTAGACAAGCCACAAAGAGACAAAATATGCAGTCAAGTCACCCAGCTGGCAGCCAAGCCCTCCAGCCCAGGGAGTTAATGCAATAGTAAGGAAGGTGACCATCGGCCCCACTGGAACCCTGGAGAGGGGCCCAGGCCCAGAGACACAAAAGCAGGCAAGCGGCCCCTAGGAGCCCCCCTCCTCTGCAGGAGAATTCACACTGAGCCAGGAATGGGAACACGCCTGTTGCAACCACAGCATGACAGCTCCAAGGCCCAGCGAGTCCAGCACAGAGAGGATTGGGGTGGGCAGGAGCAAAACTGGCTACTTGTCACCCCCTCCCCCTTCCCAGAACATACAAATCACCAGAGAGTGCCTGCTTCAGGCCTCAGGAGGCCAGAGAAACCTCCCCTTTCTAAGGAAACCTTCCTGAGCCTTTGGACACAGGACACTCCTGGCCACAGCCTCTGCCTACAAGCTGACCCCTTTCACGAGCTCAGTGCCACTAGGCCTTTCAAGGCGGAGGCTCGCACAGGCCTCCCACCCAGGCTGAGTTTGCCGATCCTTCTGCCATCCTAAGCTTGCACCTTGGTGGCGCCAAACCTCAGCACCCTGCTGGCCACACCAGCCCTCCCAGTGCTCCCCACACACCCTCAATCTCCCCGCCCCCCCTACTGGTCACAGAGGCCCCCAGGTCCACCACCAGGAGGCTAATGCACCTGATGAGCATTCAAGGCCCTGGGATGCAGCATCTGCCCCTGCCTCCGAGTCCTGGGAGGCTGCCCCCACCTCCCGGTACCTGGGTCTCCCCGGGCTCCTCGGGGTCAGCGCCGCTGCTCCCGGCGGGCTCCAGGGAGGCAGCGGCCGGGCCCAGGTCGCGCATGTCTTCCAGCGCGATGGTGAACTGGGCCAGGGTCTTCACCATCTGCAGCATGCGGCCGGCCCGCCGCGGGGGCGGGGGCACCGGGGCGGGGGCGCCCAGGCGGCGATCGGCAGGCCCGCTCCTCCCCACCCTCGGCTCCGGGGCTCCGGGGCTCCGGGCCCGGCAGGCCGCAGCGGTGATCGCGGCGCGGGCTCCAGCGGCGAGCTGAGCCGACTGCTAGGCTGGCGGCGGCGCTGCGCCTCCTCCGCGCGGCGAGTGCGCCCAGCGAGCCCCGCGCAAGCGGCGCTGGGGGGCGGGGAAGGGGGTGTCCCCCGCCCCCGCGCCCCCCAGGCCTTCTCCTGGCCTCCCCATCTCCCCCAACACGCCCAGGGCGGCAAGACCTCGGCCTGCGGCTCTCCCACGCAGCGGGGTACGCTGGGTACACCCCGAGCGCAGACCCAGACCCAGACCCATCCCCCTCCGAGGTCATCACACACCCGTGGACAAAGGCGAACACGCGCAGCGACAGCATTTTCCTCACCACACCTGAGCCACGGAGGCACACACGGGCGCGCACCTGCCTGCACAGAACTGGCCCAAATACTCGGAAACCTGCCCTGGGCTGTGACCCTACTAGCTGGTGGGTCAGAACCAAGTGTACACACATCAACAGTGTCCATTCAAACTTGAACCCTGACACCTATGAACCTGAACCCAGAGCTGCACACTGAAAGTCGTTCATGTTCACAGGAGTACAAGCACACGCTGATTTAGGGACTTGCACACATACACATCCCTGCAAACAGACACTGTCCTCCAGCCCAGGGGTGGAGCATGTAGGCCTGAAAGGGGGGCATGTGGGTGTTGCCATGGAAAGGACTTACCCTGCCTCAACCCTACTTCCACCCCACCCAGGGGACCTGTGTCCTGTACTTTAGACAGTCCCATCCCTCTCCATCCTACACCCGCAAGCCCACCATGAGGGACTCAGGCATTTACAAGCCTCACCAGTACCAGAAAGGTGCTCCAGGATGTCTCCAAGCAGGAACCTCAGGACCTGTCAGGCCATGCCAGAACCTATCCCAGCCCCAATTAATCAGGAGGGGACTGAGTTTGTTTTGCACCAGCAAGCAACTCCCACCAGGTAGCTCTGAATACACTCTGCAGCCAAGTGGAGACTCCTCTGCAGTAAGCTGGCCGAGTTCACAACCCCTGTCCCCAGTGCATTGAGG